GCAGTAGAAATGTCACAAGTTAATGTAATGTCACATGATGGTAGGGGAACTTGTTTGAACGTGAGCGAGGATGACGATGTGCGCAAGCGTTGAAGTTCCTCGCTGGTGTTCTGCAATTCCGCCATTTTGTGGAAATCGATGAGTGCAGTATGATCCGTGCGAAGAGCATTGAGTTCGACACGAGATAGGGCATCTGCGGCAGGGTTATCTCCACCTTTAACATGTCTGATATCACAGGTAAACTGGGAAACAAAATCGAGGTGGCGAATTTCGCGAGGGGAGTGTCTGTCCGTTGTGGTGCCGTGAGCATATGTGAGCGGTTTGTGGTCCGTTAGCACATGAAATTGACGACCCTCGAGTGAGTGACGAAAATGGCGGATGGCAAGGTATATGGCCAAAAGTTCGCGACCAAATGTGCTGTAACGTGTCTCTGCTGGTTGAAGTCGCTTTGAGAAGAAAGCGAGTGGTTGCCATGCATTGTCAATTCGTTGTTGAAGAACAGCTCCCACTGCGACATCCGAAGCGTCCGTCATGACGCACAGAGGCGCGTCTGGCTTTGGATGTGCAAGGAGAGTGGCGTTAGCGAGGGCAACTTTGATAGCGTGAAATGAAGCGGTGGCAGAGTCATTCCAAGGGAGTGGTGCCGACTTCTTTCCGGCATTAGAAAGTAGATCGGTGAGTGGTTGGAGGACCTGGGAACACTGGGGAATGAAACGGCGGTAGAAGTTGACGAGACCGAGAAATTCCCTGAGTTTGGTGAGAGTTGTTGGTTGGGGAAAAACACGGATAGCACTGACCTTTCCAGCAAGTGGTTGCACTCCGTGACGGTCAACGTGATGTCCAAGGAATTCCAGTGACTCTGTGCCAAACAGACATTTCGCGGGGTTGATGATCACGCCGTATTGTTGGAGGCGGTCAAACAGAAGGCGAAGATGCGTTTCATGTTGATCGGCATCAGTACTGGCAACTAAGAGGTCATCGATGTAGGCATAACAAAAGTCCAAACCTCTTGTTACTTCATCAATGAAGCGTTGGAACGTTTGGGCGGCGTTGCGCAAACCAAATGGCATACGGGTAAATTCGAAGAGCCCAAACGGAGTCGTGATAGCGGTTTTAGCAATATCGTTTGGTGCCATGGGAATCTGATGGTATGCGCGGATGAGGTCGATCTTGGAAAATATCACAGTGCCATGTAGTGATGATGTAAAGTCTTGGATATGTGGCACTGGATAACGATCAGGCACTGTGGATTTGTTGAGAGCCCGATAGTCACCGCATGGACGCCAATCCCCAGGTTGCTTTTTGGGGACCATATGAAGAGGTGAGGACCAGTTACTGGCCGAAGGGCGCACGATACCTAAGTCCATCATGTGTTGGAACTCGTCTTTGGCGACTTTCAAACGGTCAGGTGCAAGACGGCGAGGGCGTGCGGCTGCAGGGGGGCCAGTCGTGATGATATGGTGCTCAACGTTGTGTTTGATTGGAGTGTCACTATAGGTGGGACGCGTTATGCTGGGGAAATCCTTCAAAATGTCCGCGAATCGAGATGGGGTGGGCGGTTTGAAGATGGGGCTGAGCGATGGCGATGTTGATGCTTTTCCATCGATGCTTAAGCTGGTCGTAGCATCAACTAGCCTGCAGTTGCGAATGTCAACAAGAAAGTTGAAATAACGAAGGAAATCTGCGCCTATGATTGCATGTTGAACGTCGGCGACGATGAAAACCCATCGGCATGGCCGCCGAATCCCAATGTCAAGTGTCAATGACCTTTCACCATAGGTAGCGATTTGCGATGCGTTAGCTGCTTGAAGGTCATGTCCATAACAGCGGTGGGCGCGGTCGTGAGATGAAGGAGGGATGACACTCACCTCTGCTCCTGTGTCCACAAGGAATTGTTGCTTCGTTACTCGATCTGTGACATAAAATAGGCGATGAGATGGGGAACGGCCGGCAGAGCATGTCGCCCCTACTTGCCGGCTTGGTCGTTTTCCTGGTGACCGGCCTTATAAGAACATGGCTGCGTACATTTGTGGGCCATAGCTCCAAATTTCTGGTGGTACCAACACTCTGCATCGTGCGTGGCCGTGGCTGCTGATCTACGGTCATCAGTGCGTTGGCGACGCGGTTGACTGCGGCTGCGACTGCGTTCACGTGGACGGCTGGTGAGGGTGGATATCATTGATGCCAAATTCGCTACTTCGGCCCGCAGTTGTTGAATTTCGGTTGGTGGCGGAGATTCAATGGTAGTGATGTGTGCAGAGACGGGTGCCTGGGTAGGGGAGACTTCCATGATTTTATCTGCTAACTTTGCCAATTGGTCGATGTCGACCTCTTCTGAGGTGGAAGCAAGAATTAGCCGAGCATTGGTTGGAAGCCGCTGGAGGAAAAGTTGTTTCATTATTGATGGCTCCAATGTTCGCTCCCCCAAGAGCTGTTGCATCTTGCGGAGCAGTTGGGAGGGTTTTCGATCCCCCAACTCCTCTGTTGTCAAGAGTTGATGCAAGCGTTTTTGTTCAGATTGAGATGTGCGTTTAATAAGCTCCTTTTTCAGCGTTGTGTATGGAGCCTCTGAGGGTGGAGTTATTAAAATATCCCTCACCTCCTGCGCTATAGATGGCTGCAGGGACGCCACCACATAAGCATATCTGGTGTGTTCGGAGGTTATGCCTCGAGTGGTGAATTGTGCCTCCACTTGGGTGAACCATATTGTTGGGTCAGATGGCCAGTATGGTGGGAGTTTGAGGCTGATGGTAGCGGTTACAGGTGGCTGTGCTGTTGCGCCGGTACTAGTTGTAGCAGGAGTAGTAGGCATCGCTGCAGTTGATTCCAAAATTCCACTGTTTTGTTGTATAGATCACGTCAGGGTCACCAGTTTAGGGTTTTTGGTTGATGGAATAATGGAATACACACGATGTTGGTCGTACAGCAACTTTATTCTAACAATCGAACAACTAGACTACCGTATTTACAAGAGAGGATTTGGAGACATGTGTCTCGTTTGATGGTTGAAAGAAGAGTGAGCGAAGAAAGTAATAAAGGAGAGTGAGTGAAGAATCTAATAAGTAATGTGGGCTGACTATCCAATTTAAAAGCAATAAAAACTAGAGACTGAAGGAATGTACTAATGGACTTTGTGGTTAGGTGATAAAATGTGGTAAGAGGGACAAAGTAATAAAAGTGGGGCTTGGCTCAGTAATAGTAATCAATCAATTAGGGAGATTGATACCATAGGGTCATAACTTTTACCCACCACTGGACTGTTGCTGGGGGCAATGTACGAGGGGTTAAAAGTTCACAAATTAAGCTATAATTATATGGAAGAAAACGCTACATCATCATCCATTCTAACCGCTGCCTCTTTGTTCTCTCTCCTTACAGGTAAGAAATGTTCCTTTATTTTTGGCATAAATTGCAGGGTGAAGTATTCACATGATATATTAGACTATTTAGTTAACGTGGTTTAAAGTTTAGTTCTTTTGTACTTAAAGAAAGTTAGTTTTTCACTGTTTTATTGTCGGAGATTTCATAGCATTGTTCAACTTTTTCAGTGTGTGTAACAATATGGTCACTCTGGCCCTGGGCCAATCATATTCTGGTCTGGAGTGTGGATTTATTTCTTGATTTTTCTGTGAAGCCATATAATATTTTGCTTAGATAAGTCTAATTTCAGAGAGTTTATAATGTGTAGATTACTTTTCTAGTGGTTTTTGTATGATGAGTATTCCTTTAGTTTGAGTATTTTGAAGAAGGAAATGTACTTTTTATTCAGATTTTTCTGTTCTTGAGTTTAAGGCCACTGATAAGTAAAACACATGGCCCAGCCAGGCCTCGTGGTCAGTCCCTGGTGGGACATTCCAGACCAATTAGCATAGCCTTGGAGTTGACCAGGGTAGCCAGTAGCCAGGCTAGCCTGGGCAGTCTGTCTCTGACTGTGGTTAATCAGCTACTCCCCTGGTTGTGTTTACTAGAGGCAAATGCCAGGCTAGGCAGGGTCTGGATTGTTTATATTAGGGAAGTTGAACTCACTTTCCAGTGTTTGGGGATCTTATGTTTTTCTTTAAAAGTTTCTTGTTTGGATTTGTGGACAGAGTTGGGGCCAGAAACAGCCCACAGACCAGAATTTATTATTATATTTTATCAGTCTTGTAGAAGAGACTCCATCTTTAATTAGACTTGCCAAGTCCTGGCTGGAGTTTAGGGATATCTTGAGTTTTTTTGTGTAATTAAATTTAGTTGTTTTCTGTGTATTTTATCCTCACGCTTATACTTAGTTTAGTAGTCATAATATAGATTCATACTTCTTTTTTTTTTAGATCTTTTATATTTTAAAGGTTTAGTTTTCATTTCTTTCTTTTCTAGGATTATTAACGGGAGTTCACGTAAGGCCAAAAAAAAATACTCCGGTCGCTGGTCAGCGCGCGCGTCGAATTTAACCATGCGCGTCAACCTTTTTTTTCTTCTTCAAATTAACACGGTAGCTACAACAGCGCCCTCTATTGCTGTACCAAGGAGCACCAAGGAATGGGGAAATTGCACCAAGGCAAATGATAAAGGGCACCGAGGCAAATTATGGAGAACACCAATGTATAATGAGGGCACAAAAAAAGCAAAGTACCCACCTTGTCTGTACAATTCAAGCTTGAAAATTTTTTTTTTTTTTTTTGGGGGGGGCCTTATATCTGTTGATTGAGATTTTTTTGTTTTACTGTTTACCAACCGCTGCCTCCTTGTTCTCTCTCCTTTCAGCTCGCCAACAATTCCGAGGATTTTCGAATCCCCTCACCCCCCATACGGTTAAATTGTCGGTTTTTGTCCAACTTCAGTCGAACTCCATCGGCGCGGCTGGTATAAGACTAGTATGTAATCGACTGAGTTACGAAAAATCTAATGACATCACAAGTTCCGCACTGTTATTCATATATGCGTGCAGCGTAATATTATGAAGTACTTTTTCTGCGGTTATATCCAATAGCGCACCGATATGCAAATGAGGACTCATTCATTCCATTACAGTACACGGGGAGTTCTTCTCAATACGTCGCGGATGTTGTATGCCCAATTAAACTTTACGCAGGCTGCAAGTAGTACTTAGTTTGCCAGTAGGCGCCGAAGGGAAAGGTTCGACAGAGGAGTGGCTGGCTGCAACTCTTTCAAGTACACCGCAACAAAACTGCTTTCTGTCGTGATTTCGAACTAGAAAACGGTACAAACCAGCCAAAGCCAACATGATTAAATTTCTAGAGAACACTTGGTATAGCGCGAAGAGACTGGCTGACGGTTATACCAAAGACGTTAAGAGAGAGACCCAGAAGTACCAGACTCTACGAGATCTAGACCTATTCGTCCTGGATAACTCGATCCGTGAGAGCACAGTGGGCCAGCTGCGCGGTCATACTCTGGAGGATAAATGGAAGGTGTATGATGAGGTGAAACGATGTGGCTTCACTAATGTTATCGTGGCCTCCTTCTCCCACATGACACGCGTAGATGACGTCTTCGTCAAGCAGTTGGTGGAGAAGGGAGAGGACCGTAAAGGACTCTACGCTTTCTCAGAGATAACCGAAGGTAGGCAGAGGAAACCCATCAAAATAATCCTCACCGACCTAACTCAACCACACCACTAAATATCCTTTGCATTAATTAATTTGAGGTTGTATCTACATCACGAATCCTACACAAAAGGAAAACCGTCTGAGCTAAGTTACAAAATTCACCGAGCGGACTTGTCTTAATTGGTAGGAGGCGTGATAACGGGCATTAGTACCCGTTGGCATGTTAATCGCGAATTTTCCACGTGTGCCATTTTGTTGGGGTTTTTGCATGACATATAAAACAAAAATATTCATAAAACTGTAAGCAAAACCACTCTTTATGTAAGATATACTTGTTCCAAAATTGTTAAAAAAAAAAATACAAGAATTTATAAGATGGTCTAAAATAAACGTCAAATTTTGAGAACACCTCTTACCAAAATTTCGTTTTTAATCAGGCTTTCATTAAAAAGTTTTTGGAGAGACGTGGTCCGGAACAAACACTGTCAGAAATCTGTCGAGGAAATAAGAGACAGTGTGTGAAGTAATCAGACGAAGAATCAAAACATAGTGGCGTCCGAATCGTCGAAATTTTCGTTTAAAATTGTGTTTTTGAGTTTTCTTTAAAATAAATCATTTCAAATTATTACTTCGAGCATGGTTAGTGGGGTTTCCCCCTCGTCAAATGGAAAAACGGGGTAAAATACATTTTAATCGACTACACACCGCATGCCGCCTGCGCCTGCGCGTCTGAATGGCATACTGGGACTCAATGTAAAGCACCTAGTCTGAGTATCAACGAATTCGTCTTTTTAAATGGTATTTTAAAATACGTTTTTTTAATGCTGACACGTAAATATTCTGCGTTTTTTCTCTCCAAAGGTGCGAAAAATCGGATACCGAACACCGAGAAGATTCCTGTGGGATTGCAAAAGATGAAGGAGACGGGTCTCTGGAACGCAATCCTGGAGGTAGACCTGAGTGACGGAGTCTACGACTTCAGTAAATTCACCATGGATGACATGTGCGCACTTGTCAAGAAATGGATCATGTGGGTGTACGACAACCTGCATCGAGACGCCAAGGTGTTGATCAACCTGCGAGACATGTCCGATGTGATGCCTGTGAAACCCGCCCGGGTCTTCCAGCTGGTCAAGTTCCTTGCCGAGATGCCAGAAGATGTCCGGCCTTTCGCTTTGCTTTTCGAAGAGGCCAGAGGCCTTTGTGTGCCAGAGGAGTGCGGCAACTGGGCCAAGTACATCCGAAAGACCATGGATATGAACGAATGGAAGGGGAAACTGTTGGTGCACATCCACGAGAAGTACGGTTATGCCGACTCCTCACAGCTCGAGGTACGTCAAATTTGTCTGCCTATGCTAACGTTCTTTCTGGTGTGAAACTAAAGGTTTCCCCATAGTGCACATGAGGCGCTGCAGTTTAGCTCATGCCCTGGAAAAGTCGAGAGAAGACGCTGAAGAAATGTTTACTTTTTAGGGCGTTTGAATAATTATGTCAAGTTGGAGGTCACCAGTCCACATGACCTCCAACTTCTTTGAACTCCAAATGTGAAGGCTTTTGTTTATTCGATGACCAGGGGCCATGCTTTTTGAACTCTCATTGGACGAGTTTGTTTACCAAATGACCCTTTGTCAGCATTGAATAAACAAGTGATGTACCAACAATACTTGGCGAATCTGCGTGTCCAAAATTTTATGAAAGGGATTGACGGTCAACAGCGTTATTGGATCATGTATAGGTTGAGGGCGAACCAATGGTTTTGTATAATTTTGCTGACTCGTCTCAATTGATCGTCTCATTGATGCGGTCACTTTCATCGGGAAAAAGTATTGTGGTCTCGGAGATTTAGTCGGGACCAAGGGGGGATCCAGAACACAATTTTTTTCTGGGGGGGGGGGGCAATGTTCGGTCCCCCAAAAAGTGGGTCCAAAAAATTGCAGCGTGGGGTTCGGGGCCCGCTTAAGGGCCCCGAAATTTGTTTGGATTCTAGATGCTCTGTGGTGCGAATTGAAGCAATTTCTGACCACTTTAAACAATTGTTTTTTTGAGGAAAAGATGGTGGTGTACGCAGTGCCTGCCTTTATTGCGGCGTCACTTAAAAAGAATTGAATTCGTTTGGGGGGGGGTGGCCCCTTTTGCCCCCCCCCCCCGATCCGCCCTTGGTCGGGACTCATGCAAACACGATTTGTTTTTAAATTAGTGCAATAAAACGTATAGGAAAGAAAATCAACTTTCGGCTTCAGAGAGCACGTAACAGAACTGGTATAACTACTATGGTCGATAGGGGGTCTACCCGATGTTCCCCAATACCTACAATCCCGGTCAAAATGGTTGGGACACTTCCTGAGCCTGCCACGGTCACCAACTCCCCTGCTCCCCCGGTCAATGTTGTTCTCTTCAGCTGATGGAGCACACACCGCGCAATGATAGACAACATTGAGCGGGGGCCGGGGGGTTGGGGGCCCAGCAAGATTTGGCCAGGATTGTCTGAATTTTTTCATTTTTGAAAATATGCATGGCATGCCGTTTGGGGAGCTGTTTTCTTGAGTTAGGTTTCCACAATATGAAATGGCGGCCGAAGGTTGAATGAAAGAACACATATTTAGGCCAAATAATAATTATTGATAGTAATACAAAAATGGAAATTAAAAATACAAATATATTTTGTAGTGTATCCTAACACGTATGGGCGATAAGCAGGGTATGCTAATGACTTCCCGAGTACTGCGGGGAAACAATCCACATGTATTTATCTACGGTGAGATTCGAACCCACGACCCCGCATTGTTGAGCACATCTTAACCAATAGACCACCGAAAGTACCGGCGACAAGAGGCTATGTTCCAATCCTTTAAAATCACAACTTTATTGTTGAGTGCATCGTAACGGGTCACCATGACGGTTCATCACCATGCCATTTTGGCCAACAACTGTACAAAATACAGTTTGTGTTTAACTTGAAAGGCCCATTAGGATACGCAAACAACATACAATCCTTGTCAATTTGTTTGTATTCACTCATTCCGTTAATTTGCCGACAAATCCATCGGTGATCCATCCAAACCAAAATATAAAGGAATTGAGTGACTCTGCTTGTTATATAATTTACAGCGGTGAACCGTGGTTACACTATGGTTTGGATGGATTTTTCGTCGAAATGGGGAATTAAAAACACATTGAAGAAGATGATACGTTGTTTGTGTATCCTAATACGGCTTTCACGTCGAACACAATCTGTACGTTTTGTAAAAATATCGGCCAAAATTACATGGTGCACCGTCATGGTGAATCGTGTGCATTGACCATGTTAGCAGCGCGCGCGGTGTGTGTATTATTATTTGAGCGCGTACTACGCGCAACATCCAAATCCAATATCAAGGCTATTGTAAATTCAGACAATCCCGGCCAAAATGGTTGGGACACTTCCTGCCCTTACATAAATCTCCCATGTTATTCCCATGGGAATTGCATGGTGAATTGGACACCATGTACATGGGATTTTTCCCATGGGATTTTTCCCATTCGCTTTTTCCCATGGGAAATTGTGTAAGGGTTTTTTCCCATGTATGGTTTCCTTTCATTTCTCAAAAGATTTATTGCTCCATGATATTTTTCAGTAACAACTTCCTTAATACATTTTAACCCTGTGTGTTAAGTGCTTTTCACCGAATAGGTAAAGCACGTCACGGAACTCCGATTAGTGGAGCTGCTAAGCGAAAAATCGTGCACTTTGTGGTAAAAGCATGAAATTTGGCATGTGGGGTCAAAATGTGGGCTAAAAATCATTTTAAGATCGGGACCCATCCTGGATCTTGCCCATTTTGGGGGCGGAGCTTGATTTTTCAAAAAAGGGGGTGCAAACAATACAAACTCATGAAAACTGTATTTAACATCAAATTTCCTTGTTTTTTACGCTTTGAAATAAACTTAAACATGAAATAAGTCATTCTAGCATTCTAACACCTGTTAATATTTCACCCTTTTGCGGGCGTGGCCTAAATGTGTAAAGAGGCGGTACATTAGAGCAGCTTGATTCAAACGAGGGAAAATCATCAATTTGGCTGGTAAAAACACAACTTTTCTATCGGTTAACTATGTTTACCATACACTGTAAAGATAAGTTTAAACGGTTGCAAGACTAATTGTTGCCCTTTAGGGGTGGAGCTACATTTTAAAGTAGGCGGCTATAAAAAAAAAATCATATCTAAATTGTTATGATTGTCTACAAGTAACTTACACAGGGTGAGTCAAAAAAAGGAAACCCAAATGGCAGGACAATTTTTTTTTATGATGATTTGCATGTAGCACTTTCAAAATCAAGATATGAAAGCCCAATTTATAAGCTTTGTTTTAGTACAAGAGTCATTCAAATCACTTATGTACTTTGCAAGTTACAGAATTTTAAACACAAACACCGTCTTAAAAGTTCTGTCAGCAAAACGAAAACAATTCACATATAGGGGGATGCGCTGGAATTGTTTTCGTTTTGCTGAAAGAACACACACCATTTTTTGTGATACGTGGACAGAACTTTAAAACAGTGGTTGTGTTTAAAATTCCGTAACTTGAAAAGTACATATAAGTGATTTGAATGATTCTTGTACTAAAAGAAAGCTTATGAATCGGCTTTCATATCCTAGATTTTGAAAGTACTACATGCAAAACGTTATTAAGAAAATGGTCCCGCCATTTGGGTTTCCTTTTTTGTTCACTCACCCTGTATACTTACAATGGCGGCATTTCCTAATTGTGCATGTACTATAAACACTATGGGGATCACAAGGAGAGGGAGGGGAATCAGGGGCGGCCCAATGAAGGATTTCTTGAAAGTGCTCTTCTAATATGTTTAATATATATATATATAGGCATATAAACATAAAAATGTGCACAGAATATACGTCCATTCAGGCGCGGTTCTAGAACCAATATTTTTTTTTTTTTTTTTGGGGGGGGGGGGCTAGCACGGTGGATCCAGAACTTTTTCAGGGAGGCGTGCTGAAATGTTGACCGGTTATTTTTTCCAGACACTTAGGCCTCCGAAAATCAATAGGTGGGGAGGGGGGGGGGGGGGGTTCATGCCATATTTTCAATGGGGAGCGCTAATAAAATCCTAAAATCATTCACACTATATTAACTAATGTACCCTTGTCACAGCTATTTCTTCTTTAGGGGGAGACCGTTCGCATGTACATCACAATCCTTCTTTATGCTAATGCAATTTTTTTTTTACGGAATTTATTTTGGGGGGGCTAGACAAAAAATTGGGGGGGGGGGGGCTACAGCCCCCCCCCCCCCGCGTAGAACCGCGCCTGCGTCCATTCCTTGCAGTGTGTACTGTTGGATTTATATTAGATGGATGTTGGGACTTGGGGGAGTAATGTGTTACTGACTGAAAAGGAGGGAATAATGTTGTTGTTTTTTCGAGAAATTATGTAACTTCTTAAATAATGCGTTAGCAATGTCCAGTTTGCTGACGTCACGATCCTAAAACCTCACGAAGTCATTACGTTTTTCTATATAATATCTAAGGGTAAGTTTGGTAAAATTTGGATGAATGGTTTTTAAATTAAAAATAGTCTAATTTTCTTGGACGTGCTAGGGGGTGCCCTTTCAGGCGTTTTTATGCCCCGCGGCGAAGCCGAAGGGGCATACTGTTTCCGCCTTGTCCTTCCATGGGTGGGTGGGTGGGTGTACAGGCATTACATTCACTGTGTGGACTTCCGAACAAAAGATGTCCACATAAACCAGGTAGAGGAGACACTGTGTGGACTTGGGCAAGTCCACACAGTGTTTCCCCATTCCTGGAAAACAGGTTTAGAGGCATTTTTGGGTTAGGTTTATCCGTAGCAGAATGAAGAGAAACACTAAAGGGAATCATAGAACAAAAATTGGGTTGAAAGAGTTTTCACTGTTTGAGAAAAATGTTTTTTTCACTGGTTTTTCTTAACTACACGAAAGCATTGGAAAGTCCACACTTGGTATGTAACGTAAACTTGTGTGTGGGTGTGTGTGTGTCCGGACAAATCTTGTCAGCGCGATAACTTGAGAAATACTTAAACATATGAACTTCAAATTTGGTTCGTGTATTGTTCTTGGTAATCCTAAGAAGCTATTGCATTTGGGACCGAAAGGTCAAGGGTCAATGTCACAGTGGCTGAAACAATAGAAATTTTGTCAGCGCGATAACTTGAGAAATACTTTACATATGAACTTCAAATTTGGTTTGTGGATTGTCCTTGGCAATCCTAAGAAGCCTTTTGCATTTGGGGCCAAAAGGTCAAGGTTCAAGGTCACAGTGGCTAAAACAAAAGAAATTTTGTCAGCGTGATAACTT